AAAATGAATCCAAGTGTGGGATTTTGACAATATTGGCCCTTTACATAACGTAAGGCCCCCCACATCCCCCAAGTTGAAGGGTCTGCTGAAATGCCCTCCCAGGATGGGTCCAGGCGAGAGATGAAGTCTTGCTCTGTTTATACCTTTTCAAAACAGCGCGATGAGGGGGGGGCAGGCAAAACCAAGAAAGTGGGCATACTAAGGTTGAGGTACTTGCGCCTCGTACAGGACTTTCCCCCCCTGTCAAGCAGTGCGAGATACGGCGAAGTGCTGTAAGCTTTCCGGGTGCCTTGTTTTCAAGATTTACAACATGGTTTTCATGGTTAGTTTGGAGTCAAAATTTTACCCCCCAAAGGGTATAACTTTTTCTCCCGGTGCCCCACCTCCCCAAAAACCCCTCTCTCCTCTTCCCCTTTCTCTCACTTTTCCCTAGCCAATAAAAAAAACAGCTGGTCGTGTGTATAGTGCGACAAACCGGAAGGTTCACCTCTGCCCCGCCCTTTCCACCCGTCTCCTGTATCACCCCGCCGCCCCCAGACCTACCGGGGGGGGGGGGGGGATGAGAAGCAAATGCAAAGGTCAATATAGTAATAATATTAAAAATAATAAAAAATATAATAATAATAATATAATTTAAAAATAATAAAATAATAAAATAAAAATAAAATAATAAAAAACAATAAGACAAAAGTTTGTACATGTGCCTCACTTTTAAAAATAAATTTTTAAAAATTATTGATAAGATGATAATAAAAAATAAATAATAATATAATAATAAAAATAAATAATTTAAAAAATAATAATAATAATAATAATAATAATAATAATAATTAGTAAATTTTTCAAGAGGGGAAAATTTTAGGAGGTAATAAGGTGTATGACGCATCAAAAAAGGGGGTGATATGAAAATTTGATTGTAATGAATGAAAAACAAAGGTGGGGGAAAGCAGGGCCCCGAAAAATTGGGAAAGGTCACGCGGATACGAATGGATTGATTATTTTTTTTTTCCAGTCTTTGCATAAAAAGACGTAAAAAGAAACCAGAAATTAACAAATTTTTTAGTTCCTGATGAATTTAAATTAACAATATTACCGTCACGAGGGACTAGTTATTAAAAGATAAATGAAGCAAAATAAGTCCCCGGGGGGCCCCACGGTTGTTTTCCCGGGTACTTAAAGAAGCGATGGAACTTGTCAGCCATTAACGAGTGTGTTTAAGCGTCCATCCAAAGGTGTTGGCCCAAAATGTGGAAGAGAGTAATGTGGTTCCTGTATTCGAATCAGGGGGTAATCCTTCCCCCAAATTACAGTCCAATAATCAAATTTTAGAATCAAATTTTAGTGATATTATTGATGTTACCTCGAAAGGGATAATTTGATTAAAGAACTCAGCTTTTTTCAAAGAGGGTCGTTCCTGCTGCAAAATTACTGACTTTCTTCAATAAAACTTTTTAAGGAAATGAAATCATAAAGAATATATTTTGTTTATTTGGATTTCAGTAAAGCCCTTTTATAGAGTCCCCACAAGAGATTTTAAGAAAATGGCAGCTCATGGTAAGGATGGAAATAAATGGTATAAAATACCCACACAATGGAAAAAATAAACACAAATCAGTTAATGTGATCCTTTTTGGGAAAAAGTTTCCCCCCCACAGGGGGTTTCTCAAATCACACCGGATCAGATCCGTTTTTGTGACTTGAAAAAGCCCCCTGTGTGGGCGAAACGTGTCAATAAAGGTCACTTTTTTCTGATTTTTGTTTAAAATTTTCCCCTTTAGGATAGGAGGTAAATTTTAGATGGATAGAGGCATGGCTTTTCCAACAGTAAGAGAGGGAAATAAATGGTATAAAATTTCCGACACAATGGCAATATAAAACAAATCAGTATAATGGATCCTTTATTGCTCGTTTTGCCCACCAGGGGTTTTTTAAGTCACAAAACAGAAACCGGGTGGAAGGGGAAAGCGAGTATTTATAGTCCGGCTGAGGCAGGTGAAGAATGCTGATCTGATGATGTACCCAGTTGGGTTGTAGGTTTAAAAAAATTGGGTAGCTTGGGGAAAAGACTGGACAAGTTGTGAGCAACCTTTACAGTGTTCTTATGTGGGATAGCGATGAAGAAGTTTCTTGGGAAATGGGTTTGCTATGTTATAGAAGCCCCTTTCTGGTTGAATTTTCGGGTATAGAAATAAATGATGTTCCGGATTCTTCGGGTATTGGGTGTTTTCTTTTGTGGCATAAGTTGGTTTTTTTTAGTTTATCAAGTGGTTGTGGAATTCGGTGTTTTTACGCAGGCATTCCTTGTGTCGTCAGACCTGCTTGCGTATTGGTGTTCTGAAATACGTGTTTGGAGGTCCCTTGATGTTTCGCCCACGTATAACTTGTTGCAGTCATTACAAGGGATTATGTATACCCCTGCAGAGGATGGAGGCTTGTCCTGCCTACTACTGGTGATGTCCTTGATGGTCGTGGTTGTGGAGGTAGATACTTGGAATGATGTTTATACGGCCTGCCAAAGACTCACAAGCCTGGTATCCCACTGAGGCCCATATCCTCGGGAATAGGCAGTGCTCCCCACAAGCTCTCAGGAATTCTCGCCAAACACCTCTCGAAACTCTTGGGCACTATCAGTCCAGCACATCTCAAACACTCAGGTGATCTTCTCAATCGCATTCGCAACATCAACATCAGGAACAAGAAACTTTCCAGCCTTGACGTGACTTCCCTATTCACTAAAGTACCTACTAAACAAGCCATCGATCTCTTGCGCAAGAAAATTGACGATTCACTTGATCTTCCCATTCCAGCCAGCGACTTCATCGACCTGGTTGAACTATGTGTTGGCTTTACGTGTTTCTCTTTTGAAAATCACCTCTTTCAGCAGACTTTTGGACTACCCAATGGGTTCGCCACTCAGTGCAGTCCTAGCAAACCTATACATGGAACATCTAGAAGCCGAACGTTTCTCCACCATTATTCCTTCGTCTGTCACCTGGCTCCGTTTTGTTGACGACATTCTCCTCATAACTCCTAAACGCTTCAACGTTCAAGCTCTCCAAGACAAGCTCAACCAGGTCGAGCCTTCAATCCAGTTCACACTTGAGAAGAGGTCCGACAACACTCTTCCTTTCCTTGATGTTCTACTCTGCAAAGCTGACCACGAACTTCGTTTTAAAGTCTATCGAAACCCACCAACCAAAACGATCTTCTCCACTTCTACTCTCACCACGACACCAAAACCAAACGTGGTGTAATTATAGGCTTCTTCCTGCGTGCACTCAGAATCTGCAGCAACGAGTTCCTTGAGGAAGAAATGCACTATAATTGAACAGGTATTTTCCAAACTCCACTATCCTCGTCACTTCATCAGAGACTGCAGACGGCGAGCACTAAACATCTTCAACACACCCAGAGAAGACACTGCCGAGAAGAGATACATAGTCCTTCCCACCAACTCCATTGCCAAACATGTTTCCAACATCTTTGCCAAAACATCATTCCAAGTATCTACCTCCACAACCACGACCATCAAGGACATCACCATAGTAGGCAGGACAAGCCTCCATCCTCTGCAGGGGTATACATAATCCCTTGTAATGACTGCAACAAGTTATACGTGGGCGAAACATCAAGGGACCTCCAAACACGTATTTCAGAACACCAATACGCAAGCAGGTCTGACGACACAAGGAATGCCTGCGTACAACACCGTAATTCACACAACCACTTGATAAACTACAGAAACTCAAGACTTATCGCCACAGAAGACAACACCCAATACCGAAGAATCCTGGAATCATCACTTATTTCTATATCCGACAACTTCAACCAGAATAGTGGCTTCTATAACATAGCTGAACCACTTGCCAAGAAACTTCTTCATCGCTATCCCACATAAGAACACTGTAGAAGGTCTGCTCACAAACTTGTCCAGTCTCCTTTCCAAGCTACCCAAGTTTTTAGACTCTACAACCCAACTCGGTACATCATCAGATGCAGCATTCTTCACCTGACCTCAGCCGGACTATAAATACTCGCGTTCCTTCCACCCCAGGTAGTTCTGTTTGTGACTTGAAAAAGCCCACTGTGTGGGCGAAACGTAGTCAATAAAGGATCACATTATACTGCATTTGTGTTTATATTGCCAGTAAGCAGAGTTTCAATTAATGGAGTCAAATCTGAATGGGGATTAGTCACTAGCGGTGTTCCACAAGGATCGGTTTTAGGCCCATTAGTGTTCATAATGAAAATAACCCTCGAAGTTATAAACTAGGTGAAGTAGTGATGAATGGTTTGAAAAACCGACAAGTTGAAGATTGAGACACTTATGCAGCATATGGGAATCTTTATTCAGGAAACGTTTCGCCACACAGTGGCTTCATCAGTCCAATACAAAGAGGAAGGCGTAAGGAGAGGAGGAGAATGAGGTAATCAGTCCCTCAACCTGGAGTCGACTCCAGGTTGAGGGACTGATTACCTCATTCTCCTCCTCTCCTTACGCCTTCCTCTTTGTATTGGACTGATGAAGCCACTGTGTGGCGAAACGTTTCCTGAATAAAGATTCCCATATGCTGCATAGGTGAAGTAGAGCTTGATCATTCAGTATGTGAAAAAGATTTGGGAGTCCTGGTAAGCAGAAATCTAAAACCAAGACAGCAGTGCCTAAGTGTGTGCACGAAGGCTAACAGATTACTAGGATTTATTTCAAAAAGTATAAGTAACAGAAGTTCAAAAGTAATTTTATAACAATATACATCACTAGTGAGGCCTCATTTGGATTATGCCGCTCAATTTTTGGTCTCCTTACTACAGGATTGATATAGATTCATTGAAGAACATACATAGAAGAGTGACTTTGTCAATGGTCCAAGTCGGACCGAAACGTCGTCGTAAGCTTCTCTCTTTTATGTGCGGGTTATTTGTGTATCGTTCCAGTCACGGTATTGTGCCTTTTTGTTATTTATAGAAGAATGACTAAAATATTTTACTTATAAGGAATATCTGGTATGAGGACAGACTTAGAGCCTTGGATCTTCACTCTCTGGAGAGACGTAGAATGACGGGAGATATTGAAGTGTATAGGTGGATGATGGGCATAAACGAAAGTAATATTAATAAAGTACTGGGGATGCCGAACCAGGTAAGAACCAGAAATAACGGATTTAAGTTGGATAAATTTAGGAAGCACATAGGTAAATATTGGTTTTCGAACAGTGTTGTGGATGCGTGGAACAATCTTCCGAGTAGGGTGATAGAGGCTAGGACCTTGGGTGGCTTTAAAAAGAGATTGGACAAATATATGAGATAGAGGGGCTGGGTTTGATTGGTGTCATGGGTAAGGGAGTAAATTCTTGGGTAGCTTTAGGTAGTGGTGGTTTTGATAAGGACCTGCCTTGTATGGGCCAGTAGGCCTTCTGCAGTGTTCCTCCATTCTTATGTTCTTAAGTGGTCGTCACTTAGAACTTACCGTCATTATCTGCTATATTCTCTCCCTTGGTCTGGACACCGTTGATCTGTAGACAAAAATGTTTCTTAAGTGGTCTTTGAAGTGGTGACCTGAGGTCTTTTATTGGTGACCTGAGGTCTTTTATTGGTGACCTGAGGTCTTTCATTGGTTACCTGAGGTCTTTAAATGGTGACCTGAGGTCTTCAAACGGTGACCTGAGGTATTTTAAGTGGTGACCTGAGGTCCCTCAAGTGGTGAAGTGAGGTCTTTAAATGATGACTTGAGGTCTTTTAAGTGGTGACCTGAGGTCTTTTAAATGGTGACCTGAGGTCTTTTAAGTGGTAAACTGTAATCTTACAAGCAATGTACAGCAGAAAGTTAACTTTGAAATGGTCAGAAATAACAACAACAACAGCAATAATAATAATAATAATAATAATAATAATAATAATAATAATAATAATAATAACCCTCTCTGCTCACCTTCATTGGTGTGGTGGGTCGGTCATGGTGGGCCAGGAGGTGGGCCACATCGTAGGCAGAGTACTGGTCCACGAAGCAGCTGGTCCTGTTAGTGTACCGCTCCAGGGTCCTGTTGGTCCACCAGTGCCTCAGTGAACCACTCCAGTCCCGGTATCGACCTGCAGGGCAAAGGTACACGACAATTTGAAGCTGGACCACTGGACCGCTGAACCAGAGAACAGCTGAACAACTGACTCGCGGGATCTGTGAACCGCGTGATCACCGAACAGCTGGACCAGTGGATTAGTGAACTTCTGGACCAGTGAACCGTTGGACCAGTGGATTAGTGAGCTTGTGGACCGTTGGACCAGTGGATTAGTGAACCTCTGGACCGCTGGACCAGTGGACTGCCACCACAAGGTGCCACACATATTGAAGGGTTCTTGATCCAAGGAACTGGAGCTAACCTTTCAACTTCCTCGGATAAAACCCATTTCCCAGGCTTTCTATCACCCCCTCCCCCCTTCCCTTATGGTTTTAGTGCTTCCCTAGAAGAAGAAGAAGAAGAAGAAGAAGAAGAAGAAGAAGAAGAAGAAGAAGAAGAAGAAAATAATAATAATAATAGTAATAATAATAATAATAATAATAATAATAATAATAATAATAATAATAATAATAATAATAATAGTGACAAGTAGAGTGTTAGGTTCACAATCTAAAGGACTCGGCTTCGATTCCTAGGCTGGGACAATTTGGAATTCAGCTGGGACTGATTACCTCGTCCTCTTCAGTCATCCGTTTTTGTTACTGTATTTATTGATAAAGCCATTGGATAGAAACTAGATTTTCTGTGTGTGAGGAGAGAAAGAAAGAGAGGTAGAGTAGGCTTCAAAACCTGGTGGTCCCTGGTCAAGGACAGACGCGGTTATCTGCCTGATGAACTCATTCCACCTCTAAATCGACAGGATGGGACCACCTCTACTAGTAGTCAAGAGAAGGCGGACCTCTTTGCTGAACACTTTGCTACCAAAATACAAGTTCCTGATCCAGCAAGGGACCCTCCTTGGCTAGCTGCAAGAACTGTGTCAAAACTGTCAGTAGTAACAATAAGGCAGGAAGAGGTGCATTTCCTTCTTAAATCGCTTGACCAAGAAAAGGCTGTGGGCCCAGACAAGTTGAGCCCAAGATTGTTGAGATGTGCAGACAAGCTAGCAGCACCTCTAACTCGCATCTTTCAGCACTGCCTAGTACAGTGTAAATGGCCTTCTCTGTGGAAAGAGGCAAATATAGTCCCTGTTCACAAAAAGAAGAGCAGAGCAGAAATCAGCAACTACAGATCAGTTTCACTCCTGTCAATCACTGGCAAGCTTCTTAAGCCAATAATCTCAAGACAAATGACAGAGTTTTTTGATTACCACTCACTACTTTGTGACAGTCAATATGGCTTCAGGAAAGGTTACTCTGCTGCTGATCTGCTACTAAGTGGCACCAGTCACTGGATGAATCCAAAGTCAGCTGTGTGGTAACACTGGACATTGCTGGTGCTTTTGACCGGGTGTGGCACCAGGGCCTCTTAGCAAAACTTCAAGCACTGGGAATTGCAGGCTCTACGCTATGTCTCCTCAGTGATTACCTTCATGGTAGATCTCTAAGGGTAGTTCTCACTGGAATGGAATCAGCAAGACATCCTATTGGGGCAAGTGTTCCACAACGACCTTCTTCATCTCATCCCAGAATCCCATGCATATGCAGACGACTGTACACTGACATTCACTTATCCAAGAGAAGAAATGCCAGCTGCTCTAAGCTACATCAATCACCAGCTAAGAGCTATATCAGCTTGGGGAAATAGATGGCAAATGATGATGATCTCTAGGCATTATGATGGTAATGCTGGTACAGTAGTAAGGATGAATGGGAGGGTGTTGGCACCTGGAGAAGAAGTTGATATCCTTGGGGTGAAATTTGACTCCAAACTAACCATGAAGAACCATGTTGTAAACCTTGCAAACAAGGAAGCCAGGAAGCTTACAGCACTTCGCCGTATCTCGCATCTGCTTGACAGTAGGGGTTGCAAGATTCTGTACGAGGCACAAGTGCGCTCACACCTTGAGTATGCTCAACTTTCGTGGTTTGCCTCCCCCCCCCCCCCTCTCATTTGCGACTGCTTGACAAAGTAGAGAACAGAGCAAGACGTCTCAGCTCTCGCCTGGACCCATCCTGGATAGATCTGTCATTTCAGCAGAGCCTTCAACACAGGAGGGATGTGGGTGGCCTTACTGTTATGTACAAGGCCAATATTGTCAAAGTACCACACTTGGATCCACTTCGAGGACAGCGTGAAACAAGCTTTTATGCCACAAGACGGGCAGAAAGCAGCAACTTCACTCTGGCTATACCCTTCTCCAGAACATCACTCCATCTGAGATCATATATACCCAGGATGACTCGAGTATGGAACACATTCGTACAGCATAATGATGTCAACGAGATAAAGTCAGTTGATCAAATGAAAATGCTGGCCCACAGATACCTCCAACTTCATCCTGTTCCCTACTTGTATGTCTCATAACAATAAAAATGCTTTCAAATGAGCTGATGTGGGTAACAGCTCGTAGCTTGCCAATAAAGTTAGGAATCCTTAACCTGTAAACAGCTTGTCAATAAAGCTAGGGATCCTTAACCTTGTCAAACCCTGTGTAAAAAAAAAAAAAAAAAAAAAAAAAAGAGAGATAACTCACCATTGTTATCAAAGCCATGAGTTATCTCGTGGCCAATGATGGAGCCCAGGCTGCCATAGTTGAGGCTTCTGCAGAGAGAAAGATAACATGTTATCCTGATACCGATGAAGGGATTTCTGATCCCAGGAATTGGAGTTAGACTTCCCTTTCCTCAGATCAAGTCTGTGAGTGGAACACCTGTGCGAGGAACATTGTGAGGAATACTGGATGAGGAACACCTGTTTGAGGAACACTGTGTGAGGAACACTCTGTGAGGAACACTGTGAGGAACACTCTGTGAGGAGCACTCTGTGAGGAACACTGAGTGGAACACCTGCGTGAGCGGAACACTGTGCGAAAAGCACCGTAAGTTGAACACCGTGCGCGGAACGCCTGTCAGTGATACGCTACGAGTGGAGCCCCTGTGCGTGGAATACATGAGTGGAACACTCACGTGAAGGCCCCACGGTGGAAGACAGGAGCCTGCAACACAGCCACGGGGATCACTGTGGTGGAGAATAAGTAATGTCAGTCTTCTCATCCTCCTCACGTCAACCATGAACCAACCAACACCTTTATTGTGACTCACGAGTTCAATCCCCACCCGCACAGTGGTGGGGATTGACCCAGCACTATACCCACAGCACTATACCCACACTATACTCCTTATATTCTCGTGTAATCTTCGCTATATAATTTATATCATGTCTTGCGTAGCTAGCTTTAAACTTTATATAGAATGACAGAGGCTATAACGTTGTTGATGGATGAGTTCTTCTCATATTCAGACTGTGGTGTGAGGATATCATTATCATAATTAAAACTAAGCGCTAAACCACCAGGGTCATACAGAGGTGTGAGGATAAGGAGTGCTATCTTATCTTGTGTTGTGAGGATAAGTTGCGTTATCTCACCCACCTAGCAGCTACTCAAAGTGAATTAAGCCAATTAATCAGTCCCTTCCCACTACTCTGTACACTCACTCACTTCCCCAGTGTGAGAGTTATGTAGTGGTAACAAAAGATACGAAACATGGTTAGGTTTTGCTCCCCAATGGAAGTAAGTCGCTCTGACTTTTTTGGGTTATCCCAGGTTCTCTACACATATGCTGCTATGTATAATCTGTGTAACTGTATTTGTGTATACCTGAATAAACTTACTCACAAGTAGCTACCATATAGACTTGGGGTGCAGATCGTTTCTCATATTTCCAATTTTGGTTAAAAAAATAAATCCATAAAATTTTCGGTTCCTTGGTTAAGCATGTGTAAAGACAAGAGAATGTAACCCCCTTGTAATCCCTTTCCACCTTTTCAACTTCTGAACGCACGACTGTGTTGCGGCTCTGTTCTCTTGTCAGTCTTACATGCGTCGTGTGTATCTTCCTGGTTCATAAGTCAGGTTTCTAAAAGTTTAGGTTCTTAGGATTACATGACGATTTATTTTGCCCATTCTTGATAGGTCTTACTCTCACCCAACCTCTCCCCTTGAAGATACCTAAAGTACTCCCTGCTGTCCTCTTATCAAGGATCCCAAAAGAAATAAGTCACTTTGATTTTTTGGGGTTATCCTATCTACAAATGCTGTTATTTATTTATTTATTTATGTAGGAAAATTTATGTAACTGCATTTATGTGTACCTGTACCTTAATAAATTTGCTCCAATAACCCTGATTGGCAATTTGTTCCAGAACGCGACCGAGTTTGTACCAAAGTTACAGCACATTTGCAAGGCCAAGCATAATCTGATACGTTACCTTGGATGGCTCTCACCCACCTATTGTGTTGTGTAGAGAACTGTAGAAGGCATTAGTCTCCAGTGGTCCCCTGGGCCACCTGGGGACGACGGGAGAATTACAAATTATTGTTAGCTAGGCTTTATTTTGTTAGTAGTATCAGAATTATTAGTAGTATTTTTATTGTATGATTATTAAATTATTATTATTATTAATTATTATTATTATTATTATAATTATTATTATTATTATTATTATTATTATTATTATTATTATTATTATTATTATTATTTTTATTATTATTATTATTATTATTATTATTATTATTATTATTATTATTATTATTATTATTATTATTATATATTTTTTTAATAAATATTTTAGAGGCTGCTCTTGCTGCTAATATTACTGCTGCTGTTGCTGTTCCTGCTACTGCTCCTGCTGCTGTTGTATTAACAGCATGTTTGTATTTCTACTATTATAACAACTGCACTAACTTGTGTGTGGATGTTGGTGCTCGCAGGTGCACGAGGGAGCGACGGCTGTGCCAAGCCATCATGGACGCTATGTTGCTGAAGTGATCACTTGCAGACACATTAGGTAACTGCAAAATAAAAATAAAAACTGCTAGGAATGATTCGTGGCTCAAGTGGTAGCACCTTCGGGTCACAACTGAAGGTATCTGGGTTTGATCACAGGACGAGTGGAAATGCTGGTTATGGTTCATTACGCCAGCTACCCCTGTTCACCTAGCAATACGTATAGGTACCCGGGTGTTAGTCACCCACTGTGGGCAGAAAGTCGAAGAACCCCATGGCTATAAGCGACACTGACTGGCTTCCGTGGGTTACTAACCCTCAGAGTTAAAAGATTAACAAAAATTTAAATGTCGTAGTTACTGCTGATAATATTTCACAGAAAACGTGTCTAAACTAAAGAAAATCACTTTTAAACACTAACAAAAATAAATACAAGTGCTAAATTTATAACGCGCTTTTAGACAATCATAACAAGCAAAATTAATAAAGTTAGAAAATATCAGACTAGAAGCACGACTGCTATACTGAGCGACGACACAAATACAACTAAAGCATTTAATGCAGTCTAATTTATCCTATAATAAGTGAAGTAACAACAAAACTGAATATATACTTCCGTTGAATTTACATGTTACAGCTGTTATTATTATTATAATAAAAAAGAAGCGCTAAACCACAAGGGCTATACAGCGCTGCAGGGCAGGAAGGAAGCGAGGGTATCAGGTGGCAAAAGGTAACATGACAGTTAACTTTATTGAAGGCTGTTGTTGATGAACCCCTCAAGGAAGGTTCCTTGATGTTAGGCAAGACACATATGCAACAGTTAGGTATCTTTATTATGAAACGTTTCGCCTACACAGTAGGCTTCTTCAGTCAAGTACAGAAAAGTTGATAGAAGCAGAAGATACTTGAAGACGATGTAATCAGTCCATCACCCTTAAAGTTTTGAGGTGGTCAGTCCCTCAGTCTGGAGAAGAGCATTGTTCCAAAGTATGAAACAATATTGTTTCATACTTTGGAACAATGCTCTTCTCCAGACTGAGGGACTGACCACCTCAAAACTTTAAGGGTGATGGACTGATTACATCGTCTTCAAGTATCTTCTGCTTCTATCAACTTTTCTGTACTTGACTGAAGAAGCCTACTGTGTAGGCGAAACGTTTCATAATAAAGATACCTAACTGTTGCATATGTGTCTTGCCTAACAACCTGTCGGTATTTTATACCATTTTAATGTTCAAGGTTCCTTGATGTTGGTGAGGGGCTCTTGATTTAGGGAATTGGATCTGTGCTCCAGTTCCCCGAATTAAGCCTGAATGCCTTCCACATCCCCCCCCCAGGCGCTGTATAATCCTCCGGGTTTAGCGCTTCCCCCTTGATTATAATAATAATAATGTTGTTGATGAAGGGGAGACAGGGAGGAGAGCGAAACGTTGCCACAATAAATGTCACATTAGTTGCACTTGTGTCCTTTTACTTTACATATTGTCGGTAATTCTACCAACTTTATTACAAGAGAGGTTATTGTTTGGAAGGGGAATCCCCCTCCATAAGGACTCTAGGTCACTTCGGGGGTCACTTCCCTAGCATAAATATAGATTTACATGCAGAAAAGAATGCCAAATAATTCTAAAGCACTAATAAAATGTATAAATGAACATTGGTAATAGGGGTAGTTGATGAGTGGAACGGTCTGCCTAGTAGGGCGATCGAAGCTAAAACATTCGGTAGTTTCAAATTTAGGTTAGTTAAATACACGAGTGAGAGGGGTTGGATTTGAGTCGGACTTAAGAACATAAGAACATAAGAAATGAGGAACACTGCAGCAGGCCTGTTGGCCCATACTAGGCAGGTCCTTTACAATTCATCCCACTAACAATATTGTTTCATAGAATGAAACAATATTGTTTCATTCTATGGAACAATGCTCTTCTCCAGACTGAGGGACTGACCACCTCAAAACTTTAAGGGTGATGGACTGATTACATCGTCTTCAAGTATCTTCTGCTTCTATCAACTTTTCTGTACTCGACTGAAGAAGCCTACTGTGTAGGCGAAACGTTTCGAAATAAAGATACCTAACTGTTGCATATGTGTCTTACCTAACAACCTGTCGGTATTTTATACCATTTTAATGTTCAAGACTGGCGGTTATATAGGCGTCAGTGGATAGGGACGGGCAGCAGACGAGGGCATAGTCACTGGTAGGCGGGATTCCCCAGTGGAAGTAGGTCCTACCAGTGACTATGCCCGATGGTCTGGTGGCTAAAGCTCCCGCTTCACACACGGAGGGCCCGGGTTCGATTCCCGGCGGGTGGAAATTCCGACACGTTTCCTTACACCTATTGTCCTGTTCACCTAGCAGCAAATAGGTACCTGGGTGTTAGTCGACTGGTGTGGGTCGCATCCTGGGGGACAAGATTAAGGACCCCAATGGAAATAAGTTAGACAGTCCTCGATGACGCACTGACTTTCTTGGGTTATCGTGGGTGGCTAACCCTCCGGGGTTAAAAATCCGAACGAAATCTTATCTTATCTTGTCTGCTGCCCGTCCCTATCCACTGACGCCTATATAACCGCCAGTCTTCTTGCCTTTGCTTCAGATTCTCCTCCACCACGATGCTGTGAACACTAACTCCAAGGCTGAGGGACTGATTACCTCATCTTTTGTATATAGTTCTACTGTCTTCCTATTATGTCCTAGAATCTGTATTGATAAAGCCACTGGATGGCGAAACGTCTACAATAAAGATTTCCAAATGTTGCACATGTGTCTTAACTTTCACAAAGAGGAAGGCGTAAGGAGAGGAGGAGTATGAGGTAATCAGTCCCTCAGCCTGGAGTCGATGTGTTCAGTCCATCAATCTTGTAGAATGTACAGCATAGGGCCGTAGACGTGGCTTATATACTGTAGTGAGGTGAGGTGAAGCAGGCGGAGGCGGGGTCATAGTGGTACCATCCACTAGTCGAAGTAGTGAGGTGAGGTGAAGCAGGCGGAGGCGGGGTCATAGTGGTACCATCCACTAGTCGAAGTAGGTCTTCGTCCAAAGGTTGAACAAGTGTTGAAGAATTCTTTGTAACAAGATCCCATAATGCTGCAGTGCCTTTCTCTTTGTGATGAATGGTTTGAAAAACCGCCTTCCTCTTTGTATTGGACTGATAAAACCACTGTGTGGCGAAACATTTCCTGAATAAAGATTCCCATATGCTGCATAAGTGTCTCAATCTTCAACTTGTCGGTTTTTCAAACCATTCATCATGACCAGGAACCCAACATTAGAGCTGTTATCCTACCTCAGCTCATCTCATATCCTAGACCACTGTAAGGTATACTAGCACCTACTTGATGAATAGGGGAAACAGGTGTAGGGAAACAGGTGTAGAGAAACAGGTGTAGGGAAAGAGGTACTCACCTAATTGTACTCACCTAATTGTGGTTACAGGGGTCGATACTCAGCTCCTGGCCCTGCCTCTTCACTGAGTGCTACTAGGTCCTCTCTCTTCCTGCTCCATGATCTTTATCATACCTCATCTTAAAGCTATGTATGGTTCCTGCCTCCACTACCTCACTACTATTCCACTTCCTGACTACTCTATGACTGAAGAAATACTTCCTAACATCACTTTGACTCATCTGGGTCTTCAACCTCCAATTGTGACCCCTTGTTTCCGTGTCCCCTCTCTGGAACATCCTGTCTCTGTCCACCTCGTCTATTCCACGCAGTATTTTGTATGTCGGTATCATGTCTCCCCTAACCCTTCTGTCCTCCAGTGTCGTCAGGCCGATTCCTCTTAACCTTTCTTCGTAGGACATTCCCCTAAGCTCTGGAACTAGGTGTAGGGAAACAGGTGTAGGGAAACAGGTGTAGGGAAACAGGTGTAGGGAAACAGGTGTAGGGAAACAGGTGTAGGGAAACAGGTGTAGGGAAACAGGTGTAGGGAAACAGGTGTAGGGAAACAGGTGTAGGGAAACAGGTGTAGGGAAACAGGCCTCACTCTTTCACTCACTCCAGAATGAAACCAGAATTTATCTCTTATTATCGGAAGGCGATACTACTGAGTAACGAGCCAGTTTGAGGGATTTATTTAAGAATTATTGATAAGGGATTAAATTATACATTGTAAGGATCATTAGATCAAACCTATACTGTCAAGTCGATGACCAAGACACATGCAACACCCGGGTATATTTATTCGAGAGATGAGGGCCCAGCCCACTTGTGAAAATGTCTTCAACTGCTGTAACCGCGCCACTTCTTCCACTGGCTCCAGTATGAAGTTCTCCATCATCATGCCTCTGCATTAGATTGGAAAAGCTTGTTGTGCAGGAGAAACATCTCTCTATTGAAGATATCCAGATGTTGCACATGTCATATTCACCTATCTGAAACTAAATGACACATACTTTTCCAAACCATCTGATTCTATTGGAACCTGTGTAAACCACTCCAAAATCCCCCCCCCCCTCAAAACTATCTAATCCCGTTTCAATAAAACTTATCCCTCACCCTCCTCAAAAGTTACATTCAAAGTACTTAACAACTGTCCGTTACCCCAACTGCTTACAGAGCCACCTGTCTACCTGCGGCACTACCTGACTCACCCCCAGATGGTACTCCTGTAGCAGGTGGTCGTCAAGGAGAAGGTGAGGGTAGGCGACCAGGTGCTGCATATGGTCGAGCTTGCTGAGTGCCGCCTCCTGCGTCACTTGGTCCATCCAGGTGGCTGAGCTCAGCATCTCTCTAAAGGCGGAAGACACCCCCTCCACCACCTGCCTCGCCTGCCTCACTGCCTCCTCCACTTCCTCCTTCCGCGCCTGCAGGAGGAAGGCAGTTATTAAATTCACGGGAGGTAGAGTCTGGGACCAGACAGCAGGGACGATGACTCTACCATTAAAAAAAGAGATATAAGAGAAAGCGCTAAATTCATAGATTATGCAAAACCTAAGGAATGGGAGGTAATCATGTTAAATATAATTAGTTAATTGTTGGTTAATGGAGGTTTTTAAGCTTATCAACTACATGAGGGTCATTAAGACTACATATAACCTTTTCACCGCCAGGCATGAATACTTTAATGTTTAAAACATGGAGTAAAGCAGATTCTCAGCATATATATACCGAGAGTAATACACTGTATACCGTGTACGTCAGGCCCATACTGGAGTATGCAGCACCAGTTTAGAACCCACACCGGGTCAAGCAAGTCAAGAAATTGGGGAAAGTGCAAAGGTTTGCGACAAGGTTAGTTCCAGACCTAAGGGGAATGTCCTACGAAGAAAGGTTAAGGGAAATCGGCCTGACGACACTGGAGGACAGGAGAGTTAGGGGAGACATGATAACGATATACAAAATACTGCGTAGAATAGAGAAGGTGGACCGACACAGAATGTTCCAGTGAGGGGACACAGAAACAACACACAGAAACAAGGGGTCACACTTGGAAATTGAAGACTCAGATGAGTCATAGAGTAATCAGGAAGTGCTATAGTCTAACTACAAGTCAGGAACCACACATAGCTTTAAGACAAGGTATGACAAAGCTCATGGAGCAGGGAGAGAGAGGACCTAGTAGCGATTAGTGAAGCAGCGGGGCCAGGAGCTGAGTTTCGACCCCTGCAACAACAATTAGGTGAGTACCTTTCAGTGTATATATTTTATTTTGATAATTAGTGTGTGTGCTGTGTTATATAATTATTATATTCAGAAAACAAGTACTGAATCTAAATAAGTCGTACACATTAAAGTGTGAGGATGTATGAAGCTGAGGTTAGTGCAGACGGGGTTTAGTGTGGGAACAAAATTTAGGTCGAAGTTGGTGTCCTAGATTCTGTTAAAAAGTGGAACTTTCAGCGAGGTGGTCAGTTAGAGTGAGTGTGTCGGGGCGTTCGGTGAGTTGAAAGTGACATGTGTGTGCTCTCTGATAGACAGGCCAGTCTATTAAGATACGAAGAACTGATAGCTCGCCCTAGTAGCCCTCACAGAGTTAAGCTGACTGTCTGTCCAAGTGACATCCCTCTGAGTAAATGAGTCAGTGGGTGAATAAATGAATGAGATCCTGAGTCGATAAGTAAAATAAAATATGTTTTATCACTGAAGGAATTATCAAGTGAAAAAATAATGAATAAGCGAGGAAGGAAATAACCGAATAAATGAAGGACATAATAAGTGAGGGACTGAGTATACTTCTTACTCATGGACTCACATGGGAGGACTCATGGACTCACATGGGAGGACTCATGGACTCACATGGGAGGACTCATGGACTCACATGGGAGGACTCATGGACTCACATGGGAGGACTCATGGATTCACATGGGAGGACTCATGGATTCACATGGGAGGACTCAGGACTACATGGGAGGACTCATGGACTTTACATGGGAGGACTCATGGACTCACATGGGAGGACTCATGGACTCACATGGGAGGACTCATGGATTCACATGGGAGGACTCATGGATTCACATGGGAGGACTCGTGGACTCACATGGGAGGACTCATGGATTCACATGGGAGGACTCATGGACTCACATGGGAGGACTCATGGACTCACATGGGAGGACTCATGGATTCACATGGGAGGACTCATGGATTCACATGGGAGGACTCATGGATTCACATGGGAGGACTCGTGGACTCACATGGGAGGACTCATGGATTCACATGGGAGGACTCATGGACTCACATGGGAGGACTCATGGACTCACATGGGAGGACTCATGGATTCACATGGGAGGACTCATGGATTCACATGGGAGGACTCATGGATTCACATGGGAGGACTCGTGGACTCACATGGGAGGACTCATGGATTCACCCTGGGAGGACTCATGGACTCACATGGGAGGACTCATGGACTCACATGGGAGGACTCATGGATTCACATGGGAGGACTCATGGATTCACATGGGAGGACTCATGGATTCACATGGGAAGACTCATGGATTCACATGGGAGGACTCGTGGACTCACATGGGAGGACTCATGGATTCACATGGGAGGACTCATGGACTCACATGGGAGGACTCATGAACTCACATGGGAGGGGTCATGGACTCACATGGGAGGACTCATGGACTCACATGGGAGGACTCATGGACTCACATGGGAGGACTTATGGACTCACATGGGAGGACTCATGGATTCACATGGGAGGACTCATGGATTCACATGGGAGGACTCATGGACTCACATGGGAGGACTCATGGATCACATGGGAGGAAATCATGGACTCACATGGGAGGACTCATGAACTCACATGGGAGGGGTCAGGGACTCACATGGGAGGACTCATGGACTCACATGGGAGGACTCATGGACTCACATGGGAGGACTCATGGACTCACATGGGAGGACTCATGGACTCACATGGGAGGACTCATGGATTCACATGGGAGGACTCGTGGACTCACATGGGAGGACTCATGGACTCACATGGGAGGACTCATTTGGACCACATGGGAGGGGCTCATTGGATTCAATGGGAGGACTCGGGGACTCACATGGGAGGACTCATACTCCCCATGGGAGGACTCGTTGACTCACATGGGAGGACTCGTGGACTCACATGGGAGGACTCATGGACTCACATGGGAGGACTCGTGGACTCACATGGGAGGACTCGTGGATCACATGGGAAAGGACTCATGGACTCACATGGAGGATCGTGGACTCACATGGGGGGGACTCGTGGGCTCACATGGGAGGACTCATGGACTCACATGGGAGGACTCATTGGATTCACATGGGAGGATCATGGACTCACATGGGAGGACTCATGGACTCACATGGGAGGACTCATGGACTCACATGGGAGGACTCGTGGGCTCACATGGGAGGACTCGTGGACTCACATGGGAGGACTCATGGACTCACATGGGAGGACTCGTGGGCTCACATGGGAGGACTCATGGACTCACATGGGAGGACTCATGGACTCACATGGGAGGACTCATGGACTCACATGGGAGGACTCGTGGGCTCACATGGGAGGACTCATGGACTCACATGGGAGGACTTTGTGGGGTCACTTTGGGGGGACTCATGGACTCACATGGGAGGGGGCTCATGGACTCACATGGGAGGACTCGTGGACTCACTGGGAGGACTCATGGACTCACATGGGAGGATCATGGACTCACATGGGGAGGACTCATGGACTCACATGGAGGAATCATGGACTCACACGGGAGGACTCGTGGACTCACATGGGAGGACTCGTGGACTCACATGGGAGGACTCATGGACTCACATGGGAGGACTCATGGACTCACATGGGAGGACTCGTGGACTCACATGGGAGGACTCATGGACTCACATGGGAGGACTCATGGACTCACATGGGAGGACTCATGGACTCACATGGGAGGACTCATGGATTCACATGGGAGGACTCATGGATTCACATGGGAGGACTTTGTGGGCTCACATGGGAGGGGTCAGGATTCACATGGGAGGACTCATGGACTCACATGGGAGGGACTCATGGACTCACATGGGAGGACTTTATGGATTCACATGGGAGGACTCATGGATTCACATGGGAGGACTCATGGATTCACATGGGAGGACTCGTGGACTCACATGGGAGGACTCATGGATTCACATGGGAGGACTCATGGACTCACATGGGAGGACTCATGGACTCACATGGGAGGACTCATGGATTCACATGGGAGGACTCATGGATTCACATGGGGGGGGACTCATGGATTCACATGGGAGGACTCGTGGACTCACATGGGAGGACTCATGGATTCACATGGGAGGACTCATGGATCACATGGGAGGACTCATGGACTCACATGGGAGGACTCATGGATTCACATGGGAGGACTCATGGATTCACATGGGAGGACTCATGGATTCACATGGGAAGACTCATGGATTCACATGGGAGGACTCGTTGGGGCTCACATGGGAGGACTCATGGATTCACATGGGAGGACTCATGGACTCACATGGGGAGGACTCATGAACTCACATGGGAGGGGTTCATGGACTCACATGGGAGGACTCATGGACTCACATGGGAGGACTCATGGACTCACAAAGGGGGGACTTATGGACTCACATGGGAGGACTCATGGATTCACATGGGAGGCTCATGGATTCACATGGGAGGATCATGGACTCACATGGGAGGACTCATGGATTCACATGGGAGGACTCATGGACTCACATGGGAGGATCATGACCCCACCATGGGGGGGTCAGGGACTCACATGGGAGGACTCATGGACTCACATGGGAGGACTCATGGACTCACATGGGAGGACTCATGGACTCACATGGGAGGACTCATGGACTCACATGGGAGGACTCATGGATTCACATGGGAGGACTCGTGGACTCACATGGGAGGACTCATGGACTCACATGGGAGGACTCATGGACTCACATGGGAGGACTCATGGATTCACATGGGAGGACTCGTGGACTCACATGGGAGGACTCATACTCACATGGGAGGACTCGTTGACTCACATGGGAGGACTCGTGGACTCACATGGGAGGACTCATGGACTCACATGGGAGGACTCGTGGACTCACATGGGAGGACTCGTGGGATCACATGGGAGGACTCATGGACTCACATGGGAGGACTCGTGGACTCACATGGGAGGACTCGTGGGCTCACATGGGAGGACTCATGGACTCACATGGGAGGACTCATGGATTCACATGGGAGGACTCATGGACTCACATGGGAGGACTCATGGACTCACATGGGAGGACTCATGGACTCACATGGGAGGACTCGTGGGCTCACATGGGAGGACTCGTGGACTCACATGGGAGGACTCATGGACTCACATGGGAGGACTCGTGGGCTCACATGGGAGGACTCATGGACTCCCCATGGGGGGACTCATGGATTCACATGGGAGGACTCATGGACTCACATGGGAGGACTCATGGACTCACATGGGGGGACTCATGGGCTCACATGGGGGACTCGTGGGCTCACATGGAGGACTCGTGGCTCACATGGGAGGACTCATGGACTCACATGGGAGGATCGTGGGCTCACATGGGAGGACTCATGGACTCACATGGGAGGACTCTGGACTCACATGGGAGGACTCTGGACTCACATGGGGGGGACTCGTGGACTCACATGGGAGGACTCATGGACTCACATGGGAGGACTCGTGGGCTCACATGGGAGGACTCATGGACTCACATGGGAGGACTCATGGACTCACATTGGGGACTCGTTTGGGCTCACATGGGAGGACTCATGGACTCACATGGGAGGACTCATGGACTCACATGGGAGGACTCATGGACTCACATGGGAGGACTCATGGACTCACACGGGAGGACTCGTGGACTCACATGGGAGGACTCGTGGACTCACATGGGAGGACTCATGGACTCACATGGGAGGACTCATGGACTCACATGGGAGGACTCGTGGACTCACATGGGAGGACTCATGGACTCACATGGGAGGACTCATGGACTCACATGGGAGGACTCATGGAAATCACATGGGAGGACTCATGGACTCACATGGGAGGACTCATGGACTCACACGGGAAAGGACTCGTGGACTCACATGGGAGGACTCGTGGACTCACATGGGAGGACTCATGGACTCACATGGGAGGACTCATGGACTCACATGGGAGGACTTGTGGACTCACATGGGAGGACTCGTGGACTCACATGGGAGGACTCATGGACTCACATGGGAGGACTCATGGACTCACATGGGAGGACTCATGGACTCACATGGGAGGACTCGTGAAGACTTCTGATATAAAGGCTGGCCACTCCCAGGGGTACCAACATCCTCGTCTTCTCGCTGCAGTCTTGCCAACTGAAGTGACGTCATCATATTAATAATAATCATACAAACTACAAAAAATTAAACAAATTTGTATATATAAATATTATCTATGTAGCGAGGAGGCAATTAATTTTACATCCTTATTCATGGTGATTATATACATTAATGCACCATGCAGGAATGAGCGGGTATATAGAGAGAAAGATCGCAGTCAGCAGGATTCGAACCCACTACAGGAAGACTGGCAAGGTTCCAAAATGACGCTCTACACCAATCTGCCACAAATGCCAGCTTTTGAGATATTTGTGGCCGAGTGGTGAAGAGCGTCACTTGGGAATATTGCCAGTCTTCATGTAGTGGGTTCGAATCCTGCTGACTGCGATCTTTTTCTCTGTCTCTGTCTGTCTGTCTGCTCTCTCTCTCTCTCTCTAAATATATATATATATATATATATATATATATAACACACACACCACACACACACACACACACACACACACACACACACACACACACACACACACACATATATATATATATTATATATATATATAATAACAGTGGTTCCCAAAGTGGGCGGTACTGCCCCCCTGGGTGTGGTAGAAAGATCTAGGGGGTGTTGAGTATAAGGGGGCAGCTAGGTGGCAGCAAGGTGGCAGCAAGGTGGCAGCTAGGTGGCAGCAAGGTGGCAGCAAGGCGGCAGCAAGGTGGCAGCAAGGTGGCAGCTAGGTGGCAGCAAGGTGGCAGCAAGGTGGCAGCAAGGTGGCAGCAAGGTGGCAGCAAGGTGGCAGCAAGGTGGCAGCAAGGTGGCAGCAAGGTGGCAGCAAGGAGGCAGCAAGGTGGCAGCAAGTTGGCAGCAAGGTGGCAGCAAGAAGGCAGCAAGGTGGCAGCAAGGTGGCAGCAAGGAGGCAGCAAGGTGGCAGCAAGTTGGCAGCAAGGTGGCAGCAAGGTGGCAGCAAGGTGGCAGCAAGGTGGCAGCAAGGTGGCAGCAAGGTGGCAGCAAGGTGGCAGCAAGGTGGCAGCAAGGTGGCAGCAAGGTGGCAGCAAGGAGGCAGCAAGGTGGCAGCAAGTTGGCAGCAAGGTTGGCAGCAGAAGGCAGCAAGGTGGCAGCAAGGTGGCAGCAAGGTGGCAGCAAGGTGGCAGCAAGGTGGCAGCAAGGTGGCAGCAAGGTGGCAGCAAGGTGGCAGCAAGGTGGCAGCAAGGTGGCAGCAAGGAGGCAGCAAGGTGGCAGCAAGTTGGCAGCAAGGTGGCAGCAAGAAGGCAGCAAAGGTGGCAGCAAGGTGCAGCAAGGAGGCAAGCAAGGTGGCAGCAAGTTGGCAGCAAGGTGGCAGCAAGGTGGCAGCAAGGTGGCAGCAAGGTGGCAGCAAGGTGGCAGCAAGGTGGCAGCAAGGTGGCAGCAAGGTGGCAGCAAGGTGGCAGCAAGAAGGCAGCAAGGTGGCAGCAAGGTGGCAGCAAGGTGGCAGCAAGGTGGCAGCAAGGTGGCAGCAAGGTGGCAGCAAGGAGGCAGCAAGGAGGCAGCAAGGAGGCAGCAAGGTGGCAGCAAGGTGGCAGCAAGGTGGCAGCAAGGTGGCAGCAAGGTGACAGCAGAACCAAGGGAACTTTATACAAAATCTATATAACAAACTCTAAGTCACGAACACTTACCTAACACACAGAATGAAACTAACATAGAATTACACATTAAACCAGACTTTACTTTATTTTGTGGTCCAAAGTCGGAGTTAATAGTCGGAAGGTTTATTCCGTCGCGTCTCACACCAGCCACATCAGACAGCAGAGGTCGTGAGTCCTCTTATGATCACATTTTCCCGTCTGCAGGAGCCATGACTTTAGGTTTGTGTACTGCAAGTTATTCTCGGTCTTGTAATGTGCATTTTAAAGTATAATTTACTGAAGATATGATTAACTGGTAGTGATGAAGGGAAGATACAGAGGGTGGTAGTGTTGCTGTGCTGAGGTTGTGACTTGTAGTTGTGACTTGTAGTTGTGGCTTGTAGTTGTGACTTGTAGTTGTGACTTGTAGTTGTGACTTGTAGTTGTGACTTGTAGTTGTGACTTGTAGTTGTGACTTGAGGTTGTGACTTGTAGTTGTGACTTGTAGTTGTGACTTGTAGTTGTGACTTGAGGTTGTGATTTGTAGTTGTGACTTGTAGTTGTGACTTGTAGTTGTGGCTTGAGGTTGTGATTTGTAGTTGTGACTTGTAGTTGTGACTTGTAGTTGTGACTTGTAGTTGTGACTTGTAGTTGTGACTTGAGGTTGTGATTTGTAGTTGTGACTTGTAGTTGTGACTTGTAGTTGTGACTTGTAGTTGTGGCTTGAGGTTGTGATTTGTAGTTGTGACTTGTAGTTGTGACTTGTAGTTGTGACTTGTAGTTGTGGCTTGCAGTTGTGACTTGTAGTTGTGACTTGTAGTTGTGACTTGTAGTTGTGACTTGTAGTTGTGACTTGAGGTTGTGATTTGTAGTTGTGACTTGTAGTTGTGACTTGTAGTTGTGACTTGTAGTTGTGGCTTGAGGTTGTGATTTGTAGTTGTGACTTGTAGTTGTGACTTGTAGTTGTGACTTGAGGTTGTGATTTGTAGTTGTGACTTGTAGTTGTGACTTGTAGTTGTGACTTGTAGTTGTGACTTGCAGTTGTGACTTGTAGTTGTGACTTGTAGTTGTGACTTGTAGTTGTGACTTGCAGTTGTGACTTGTAGTTGTGACTTGCAGTTGTGACTTGTAGTTGTGACTTGCAGTTGTGACTTGTAGTTGTGACTTGCAGTTGTGACTTGTAGTTGTGACTTGTAGTTGTGACTTGTAGTTGTGACTTGCAGTTGTGACTCGCAGTTGTGACTTGTAGTTGTGACTTGTAGTTGTGACTTGCAGTTGTGACTTGTAGCTGTGACTTGCAGTTGTGACTTGCAGTTGTGACTTGTAGTTGTGACTTGTGACTTGTAGTTGTGATTCGTAGTTGTGACTTGTAGTTGTGACTTGCAGTTGTGACTTGTAGTTGTGACTTGTAGTTGTGACTTGTAGTTGTGACTTGCAGTTGTGACTCGCAGTTGTGACTTGTAGTTGTGACTTGTAGTTGTGACTTGCAGTTGTGACTTGTAGCTGTGACTTGCAGTTGTGACTTGCAGTTGTGACTTGTAGTTGTGACTTGCAGTTGTGACTTGTAGCTGTGACTTGCAGTTGTGACTTGCAGTTGTGACTTGTAGTTGTGACTCGCAGTTGTGACTTGTAGCTGTGACTTGCAGTTGTGACTTGCAGTTGTGACTTGTAGTTGTGACTTGCAGCTGTGACTTGTAGTTGTGACTTGTAGTTGTGACTTGCAGCTGTGACTTGTAGTTGTGACTTGTAGTTGTTACTTGAGACTGTGACTTGTAGTTGTGACTTGTAGTTGTGACTTGAGACTGTGACTTGTAGTTGTGACTTGTAGTTATGACTTGTAGTTGTGACTTGAGGCTGTGACTTGTAGTTGTGACTTGTAGTTGTGACTTTTAGTTGTGACTTGAGACTGTGACTTGTAGTTGTGACTTGTAGTTGTGACTTGTAGTTATGACTTGTAGTTGTGACTTGAGGCTGTGACTTGTAGTTGTGACTTGTAGTTGTGACTTGTAGTTGTGACTTGTAGTTGTGACTTGAGGCTGTGACTTGAGGCTGTGACTTGAGGTTGTGACTTGTAGTTGTGACTTGTAGTTGTGACTTGTAGTTGTGACTTGTAGTTGTGACTTGTAGTTGTGACTTGTAGTTGTGGCTTGTAGTTGTGGCTTGTAGTTGTGACTTGTAGTTGTGACTTGTAGTTGTGACTTGTAGTTGTGACTTGTAGTTGTGGCTTGTAGTTGTGACTTGTAGTTGTGACTTGTAGTTGTGACTTGTAGTTGTGACTTGAGGTTGTGACTTGCAGTTGTGACTTGTAGTTGTGACTTGTAGTTGTGACTTGTAGTTGTGACTTGTAGTTGTGACTTGAGGTTGTGACTTGCAGTTGTGACTTGTAGTTGTGACTTGAGGTTGTGACTTGCAGTTGTGACTTGTAGTTGTGACTTGTAGTTGTGACTTGTAGTTGTGACTTGTAGTTGTGACTTGTAGTTGTGACTTGTAGTTGTGAGTTGTAGTTCTTAAATATTTGATTTTTAGTTTAACTTTCACACTTGTATTATTGTATCATGTACTTTTCCTATAGATGCATTACTGTATATTTCCTTAAGCTTTTTCTGCTGCATTTTATTGTGATTGTCATGATTTTTATAAAGAACATATATTTCTTGTTGCAGAATAAAATATAGAGGCAGCAGAGCAGACAAAAGAGAAGTGTCGACAATATAGTGCGGAATATCTGAAATATGGATTTGTATCAGCAGCAAATAATCAACAGCGCCCAATGTGCCTACTGTGTGAAAGAGACTTTCCAAATGAAGCCATGAAACTATCTAGGCTTCTGGAACATTTGAGGAAAATACACTGATAAAGCCGACCAAAACTTAGCATATTTTAAGTGTCTTTGAGAAAACTTACAGAAACGATAACCATTGTTTGATAGCACTTGACAACAATCCAGTGATGGTTTATGTGAATCATACAATATCTCACTGGTGATTGTGTGAATCATACAATATCTCACTGGTGATTGTGTGGATCATACAATATCTCACTGGTGAGTGTGTGAATCATACAATATCTCACTGGTGATTGTGTGAATCATACAATATCTCACTGGTGATTGTGTGAATCATACATCTCACTGGTGATTGTGTGAATCATAAAATATCTGACTGGTGATTGTTTAAATCATACAGTATCTCACTGGTGATTGTGTGAATCATACATCTCACTGGTGATTGTGTGAATCATAAAATATCTGACTGGTGATTGTGTAAATCATACAATATCTCACTGGTGGTTTGTGTGAATCATACAATATCTCACTGGTGATTGTGTGAATCATAAAATATCTGACTGGTGATTGTGTGAATCATAAAATATCTGACTGGTGATTGTGTGAGTCATAAAATATCTGACTGGTGATTGTGTGAATCATAAATATCTGA